CAATGTTCTGATGAAACATCAAGTTTTTCGATCGGACTATAAATTGTGAATTGTACAAATACATTATTAAGCTTATCAACAAACTTAAGGGTTTTCTGTAAGCTCCGTAACAACCGTTCGCCAGAGGCTTTTTTATGGGAAATCTTACATACTTCTTAAGAAAGAGCAAACATGAATTTTATAATGTTAAAATAATGGTATCAGACAAATTTAAGATGCTTGTTACCTGAATAAAGTAGCGATAAATGCGAAATTATTTGTCATAAAAAGAAGTCAAAACACTGTAGTATTTGACTTTCATATAAAGTACTAATTCACTATAACTGTACTCATCATTGCCAAAAAGCAACAGATGAAAAATATGGTTCAGGTAATTGGCCAATGTGTATTTTTGGATAATATAGAAGAACATCAAAATAAAAAAGCTTTTAAGAAAAACAAATAAAAGCATAATGGGTATTTAAAACGTTATTTTTAACCCTCGGGGGGATCGATACCCCACAATCCCCTTTATACCCCCAGTGAGAATTTTACATTATTCTGAAGCTCCGCTTTTAATGTGCGACTACTTAAATAGTTGATATTTTTAGTACTACCTGTACGGACTACTACTTAAAGCCGCATCTACACCTAGTCAAGTTTCTTATATGTCACATTTAGCTAAATAAATGGCTCTTTCAACATATTATCAGGCACATTTTTTACCAGAATTTATACCTTTGTCTATGCTAAGACTATCATATTTCTATAAATTGTGTAAATAAAAAACTGGAACATAATGCAGTTAGCTAAAAACAATGGATTTAATGAAAGGTGTACATTCTTTTAAAATAAATGGAAAATTTGAGAAAAAAATATTTTAAGTAATTGATACAAATTCTTTATTTGGTGATTTATTTGGTGAAAGTTCTTCACTTCCTAATCAAGACCATTTAAATCCCTATTTATTCTACTATAATTCAGGGCACATGTTTGTGTCTATTTAATACCTTGATTTTTTTGTTTACCATTGGCTTTGACTACAATATATTATTTAAAACACAATGAACATTAATTTTCTATGACCCCAAAGTGCGGTCGTTTGCCGGATGTTAAAAAATGCATATGTACCTGTTTAAGGCTAATAATATCTGTCATATGTTGCGGTTCGGACCAGAATATCCGTCCCGAGGGGACCCGCCCATTGGGCGGTAACGAGGCTTGCCGAGTTAACGCCCATGGGCGGGTTCCCGAGGGACGGATATTCCGATCCGAACCGCAAACATATGACAGATATTTTTTGTTGCATATTCTGCCATATTATTTCATATTTAAAATGGTTTACCTCAATATGATATATGTTCATGGAAATTAAAGTCATTTCATCCATAACTATTTTCTTACAATAGCCTATGAACTTACAACTTAAATAACAACGGCGAAATGACGTCATCCTAAGCACATATTTCCCTTCTAAAATGACGTCATTTTAACGCGGTTCATTCATAAAGTGCGCTAAAATGACGTTGTTGTTTGGCACGCGACTCATCTGGCATCCCCCATGCCAGATGAAATTTCCGGCATGGGTAAAACTCATGGAAACGCCAGTCTGCTATGCAAGAATAATAATATCTGTCATATGTTGCGGTTCGGACCGGAATATCCGTCCCGAGGGGACCCGCCCATTGGGCGGTAACGAGGCTTGCCGAGTTACCGCCCATGGGCGGGTTCCCGAGGGACGGATATTCAGGTCCGAACCGCAAACATATGTCAGATATTTTTTCTTGCATATTCTGCCATATTATTTCATATTTAAAATGGTTTACCTCAATATGATATATGTTCATGGAAATTAAAGTCATTTCATCCCTAACTATTTTCTTAAAATAGCGTATGAACTTACAACTTTAATAACAAGACGAAATGACGTCATCCTAAGCACATATTTCCCTTCTAAAACGACGTCATTTTACCGCGGTTCATTCATAAACTGCGCTAAAATGACGTTGTTGTTTGGCACGCGACTCATCTGGCACCCCCCATGCCAGATGAAATTTCCGGCATGGGTAAAACTCACGGAAACGCCAGTCTGCTATGCAAGAAACTCTGGGGTCGGACCCCAAAGTACGTAACGCACTTTGGGGTCGGACCCCAAAGTGCGTTTAACCCCAAAGTGCGGTGTTACAAAGCTGTACAGTAGATCATTTTTAGCAAAAGTAAACCGGTAGAAACTTGTTTTATACATAACAAACTAATGTAGAAACAATTGGAATATCTTCCTTCGGCGGGATTCAATGCGTTCCAATGCGTCACTAGTTAAAACCGATTTATCAGGCATAAACTAGAATCTTATCTTTATACTCACAAAACAGAGCTTTTCGTTACTTGCAGAATCATTCTTTAAACGATGGGCCAACTGATAACTAGCGGTATTATACGAAAAATATATAAGTAAAAGCAAATCCCTTGGCAAGCTGGTTTGAAATTAAATGTTCTTATTCTAAACATGTAGCAGTTAGTGGTGTGTATCTATGTCTATAAGTAGGAAAGTGGGGGCATACCTTTCTTTACATGTTAACTTATTATTTGTACAATTATATCTTCACTATTATATGAACATTCAGTAATTATAAAGAAACAAATAAAAGAAACACACAACATCAAACAAAGTTTTTTAATAAAAAAAACAACTATAAAACATGCATTTATATGAACCTATAACAAAGACTTATAGAATATTCTTATTAAATTTGACAGGAAAATCCGAGCCTCACTATAAAAAGGTCAAGAATACTTTTCGAATTTTAAAGCAGCACGCCTCCAGATTCATGTTAATTTTGGAAATGTATTTAAAAGTAAAATAATGTTATATGAACAAGTAAAGTAATTTACATACTGCAATCGCCACTTACAATCCACGAAAATTACCAAAAAGTGGTCAACACATGCAAAAACAACCCTTACTGCGTTAGTAACGCAGTGACATATGGTGATAAAATACTGCAAAATAAGTGTTAACAATATGTAAAATATAAATTAGATCTTAAATTGTTTAGCGTTCTTAAAAGTTTAGTGCTTTTTTCTCAATAATGATTTACCTGAAATATTTGGGCTCATCTGGAGGCGTGCAGCTTTAAGTTGTAAAATAAATGTTACATGAAGATGACAGAGGGACGTTAAGAAACACATTCTGCAGTGCAACAAAATATATATACTGTTGAAGAGGATATCATTAAATAGTTATATAATAAAATAAATACTTTTACTTTAAAGATTTTTCAAGTCAATGTTTACGAAAGCTCTGATATACAGAAATAATGAAAAAATCAAATCGACCGAGACGAACTGTAATTAGTAATACTCAACTGTTTTTATTATTATTGTAAGTCTCTAATGTTAGATCTAGTTACAAAAAGAAACCATTTTCATTGTGTGATATATTGAGAGAAAAATCTGACATTCTTAAATATTGACATATTAAATTGTTTAACAGCATACTTTATAAAAGGAAAACAAGAATTTCACATCTAACATTGACAGGAAATGAGCAGACTTTTGAAACAGATTTTTAAGCTGCACTTTATTTTTGCTTTAAAACATTCACAGAAGCCGAATAAAACTGAATATTTGTTCATACCTTTTATTACTTATTTCTAAATATATGTCATTTAATGAAGTAATGAACATCTTTTTATCAACTGACATTGTAGATGTCATGTGGACAATACACGTGATCGGTTACTATGGAAACATTTCAATTGTCATTGTTTGGAACAAAACAACTTGTACCCCTTCATATCTTCTCATACTTTTTAATTGAATTTAAATCTCCACAAAGAAACGGAATAAACTGTCCTCACCAGATCTGAAACATGAAAAATGAATTGAAACCTTACCATAATGATGATGATGATGGTTAAATAACATTTTAAAACAAAGCTTTTACAGTCATTTATTTATTTTATTATTTGGTCAATTCTAAGGTGTTTTTTTTTCCCTAAAAATATTGTAAAAAAAATGCTGTATCACAATCGGCAATATAAGTAATATTATAGTCGAAAACGACTGTAATAACAAAGACAAAATATTAAAGGAAAATCAGGCACTGTTAATCCGAGCATTGCTTCATTTCAGTCAGCTATTTCGTTCCGTAATAACGCTACATTTTGTTATGCGAAATGAGAAAAAAATAAACGAATATGTCTTAAAATGGATAAAAGTGTAGCGAAATTACAACTTAAACGAAAAATGCAGTTGTTTTGAAAAATGTTATACTGGCCGTCCAGCAACCTCTGTTTGTACGTTTGATTGATACAAAAATCAAGGCAAATGAAGATATATTTAAATATGGAGTAACAAACATTGAAAAAAATCATGATTTCAATACCTTTCTAAGCAATTTTTTACAAAAACGTTACGACAAAGAAAAGCAATAAAATGTTAGATATAATTAAGATTATATGTCTACGTTCTTACATGCAAGCCAGCGATGTCCTATCAAATTAAAGTATAGAATGTTAATACATTTCTTTTTCAGAAAAAAAAACAGTTAAAGCATCAATTTAAAAAGTCAAAACTCACTGAGAAAGAAACATATGCTATTTTTGGTTCATTACTTATTTCCTTAGAAAGTTCGCCTTTAACAAACTTAGGGGTTTTTATTCACAAATTCTGTATTACACTAAATGTCGCTTATGAAATAGAAGAACAAAAAGTACGCGTCATAGAGCGCAATTGCAAATGTATTCTTCTTGTATGTTAGTTCGAAAACTGTTGTAACAAAAACATCATGTTATTTGTATATATGTACATAGAAAGGTAAAACAAATTCAAAAGAAATAAAAACGAAAACAAAATATCAAATGAGAAATCAAGCAGACGACAATGTTCATCTACGAAAAGCCATGCCGGAAAGGAAGTGCGTTATATGAACGAGAATACGTTGTGTTATACGACATGTTGGACCTGTGCCTAGGGCTACTACTAGATTTGTACGAAGGCATTCTAGAAGGAAACCACACCATATTTTTCACTTCCTCCTTGTATACTTCCGGTATCGGTCCAATGCCGGATGGAATCATTTTCACCGTGTTCCGGCCAAAGAGGCGGCGTTCAAATTCGATAAGTTGGCGCCAGAAGCCAACATTTGGGTGGATGACTGGTCTACGTTTCTTGATGTGGTAGTATGACTGGTCTAATGTCATTCTTTGATATTTCATTAGATATGCCATACATAAACTAGCCGAGCGGCTAACGCCTGCAACACAATGCACAAGAATTTTCCCGCCACTTTTGTGAACTTGATGAATTTTATCAGCACATCTATCAAAATACATTCCTAAACGTGCACTAGGTGTGTCCTCAACATGTATTTGAACACATTCTACACTAGGTAACTTTAGATTAGGTATTTCCATGGTACAGTTCACTATATTTGTAATTCCGAGAGAGCGAATGCGGTCAGTCTTTATTGCGCCTGCGCTGCTCAGAAACAAATGGTCATTTATTTGTGCTATTTGGTTGAACATTGTTAGATCCATTTTGCGTTTACGATGTGATTTAGACCTGAAAATATATGAAAACAAATTCACAATCATCTCCAAAGACAAACAGGAAAAAATAACTAAACAGAAAGCAATGTTACTAGTTCCATTTCGTGATCAAGGTACCTTTTAGGTCACATTATGTAATGATTTTTGCGTTTGATTAAAGATAAATCTAAGGATAATGAATCAGAAGGACAGTACATGATCACGAGGCAGGGATGTGCCGGCTGATCTAGATAGGACTGTCCTGTCAGTTGGGGAAGATTTTGTAGCCGCCAACAGGCTTAATGTTGTGGGACAATTATTTTCCTAATTTCCTGTTATACTCAGTTTTATTCAGAAATCTGAGTACCGCAGAATCTGTACGAAATTAATAAATATGAAAGACACGAAAACTTTTGCTGAACCAAATAATAATTTATAAATGTGTGTGTGTTTTTTTGTGTTTTTTTTTGCTTTAGTTGTTGTTGTTGTTGTTGTTTTTGTTATTGTTTTCTTCTTTTTTAACAGGATCCTCATCCTCTCTTTATAACGTTACATAACTTTTTAATTTATTTTGTTTACTTCTATATAAATATTATGTTTATATGCTTGACACATTTTGTATAAGTCCTTAATTAAGTTAGTGTTCTGTAGTTAATAATGATTTGAGCCGCGTCATGACAAAACCAACATAGTGCGTTCCGACCAGCATGGATCAGACCAGCTTGCGCATCCGCGCAGTGTAGGAGCACATTTGTCTCGGAGCACATTTGTCTCACGAGGTATGACCGATGTGCTCGTAAACATTCATATTTCAGAAAAATGGGAAATGAGACAGATGTGTTCGACACACAATAGAAAGGACACTCGAAGCACATTTGTCTCACATTCTTCCATAAAATTCTAAAAAGGTAATAATTATGCCCGTCCGTCTCCTGGCAACCAGTCATTGTTCTGTGTTGTCTGTGTTTATAATACCGTTTTTAGGTCACTTCCAGCCAATCAAAAACTCCTACCTCTGCATAGTAGTCCCATATTAACTTAAAGAATATCCCTGTTCTGCGTGTCACAATGAAAATTTCTACCAGTGCAGTATCTAGAACCCAAACACATATGCAGCGAGATTTTTATCGTTATCATTTCGGTTGAAATAATGCGAGCAAAGCCTTGTATTTGAATTTGCATTTGTATTTCAATTTTAGGTGGTGGTTCTCTCAATGGTGGTTCTTGTTTCACGTCACAGCAGTGTAACTCTTAAGTGATTTTACAGTAACAAATATGACGCTAGAAAGTTTTCTTTCATCATTTTATATTAGTTTTATCATAACTCTTTAAAATTATAAGGATTTGTTTTATATAGAATAAAAAAGGGAATACTATTTAGTGGTATATTGCCTCTTTCGAGTCAACGTACGAGATGCGAAGCGAGACTCGAGATTCCGGCGAGATGCGAAACGAGTCGCGATATTGTATCGTTCAAATATTGCCCGATTACGGTGATCCGTAACATTTTTGTCTCCTTGAAACCGATATGCATGATAGTACAATGGTAATTAAAAGCGCGAAGGTACGATGATGAAAATACGACGGCATGAAGATAAAACAACGATGGCACGATGGTGAAATCACAATGATGCGATGGCACGATGTTGAAAACAATATCGCGTTTTCAATATAATGTCATTGCAGTTTCATCTTCGTACCATCGCATTTTCACCATCGTACTATCACGTTTTCATCATCGTGCCATCGCTGTTTCACCATCGTACAATCGTTGTCTCAAGTTTGTATCATCGTGTTTTCATCATCATGCCATAGTGTCATCGCGTTTTTACCATTGTACCATCGCGAACGGGATTCCGTATGTTTCAGTGTTCGCCTTCAGGTTTAGCGAATTAGAGATATTATAATTTATAGTTCCACTTTGGGTTTTAGGTTTAAGATTTCATAATAAAACAATTTGCAAACCTATTGTTTATTACATTTGACATAAGGTAAAACGGCAAAACTCGAAAAAAAATTGCATGAGACAAATGTGCTTTCTTGTCCCTTAAAAATCATGAGACAAATGTGCTTTCTGGTCCCTTAAAAAACTTGATCGGAGCACATTTGTCACACAAATAAGTTTTTTTGGGTAGACATTTGAGGTCCCATTTGTCTCACGTGGGACAAATGCGACCGCATCGGTCTTAAGTAAGACAAATGTGCTCCGAGACAAATGTGCTCCTACAGCGCAGTCTGATCAGGATCCATGCTGTTCGCTATCAGTTTCTCTACTTGTAATAGGATTGGTAAGCGAACAGCATGGATCCTGATCAGACTGCGCGGATGCGCAGGCTGGTCTGTATCCATGCTGGTCGCAAACCCATTATGTTGGTTTTGTCATGACACGGCTCATTTAAATACTCATTAACCGGGTTATCTACGCCTTGTTTTTCAACCTTCAGGGACGATACGCTTTAATTTGACAAAGCTATCTAATTAGGGCGGACATAATTTGTCCGCGCATTAATTTTGAAGATCAAATAATTGTACACATGCGTTGCTACTTTCTTCTTCAATTTAATAAATGAGATAATGGGACAACAATAAGATGGATTTGATATATAAGAAAAAGCAACGTTTTGTCATAAAAGTTTTTATCGAAGTTTACAAAAGACAGGAAAAAAACATTGGCTTATTTATACTACATACAATACAAAACGAAATTTTTAGGAAGTTGTAACGAACTTAAACAGTAAACTGAAACTACATATAAGAAAGTCGTATACATTTCTTCACACATCGTATTTCAAAATGTTATTAAGTTACATTTAAAGAAACTTGTTATAACGCGACGTATTTGAAATATTTAGCCCCAGCAAGTGTCAAGTTGCATGTACTTACAGGTATAAATTAGGTGAAGATATTGTGCGATAAACTATTAGAAATAATTATTGTATTATCTCCCTTTAAACTGAGGACACATCTGATTAGATAAATAAACTAATCAGTAGTGTTTCTTATTTATTTACTCACCGAAACATGGTTTTTATTCTGTCCTCTACGAAACGCTATAGTTTTAATATATAGAATAAATCCGTTTGAACTTAAATTTTCAAAATGTAATCCAGCTGTTAACTAACGGTCAATAGCCCTAAAAAATACAATACAAACTAGAGAAACTTTCAAACCTGGCTGTTTATATTTTTACAGTGAGTAAGAAACTTTCGCGGTCGTTTTTTTATCTTTTCTTTTTTGGCACATGGTACGTCTTTTTTTATGAATTCTCGTTCGTGCTAGCCTTGGGTCAGTTGGTCATTAATGGCTTGACAAAATATGTAAAAAATGTTGAAATGATTAACGAAGAGAAATTTATTCACGTAAAAAATCTTATATGAGAACATGTATAGTGGGCTCGTGGATTTTAAAACTTTTACACCAAATATCACACTTTCTTTATTGAAATGATTGCTCACTTTCAAATTATTATTTTTTCTCTCTCAAAATAATAATAATTATAGAATGTTGTTACCGTTCTGTGAATATATCATAAAATCTATTATATAAATGCATGACATATACTCATAAATTCCCGACACATACGATGCTTTTAAGGTTTGTTTTTAACAATTTCTCCCTTACGAAATGATAAATAAAGCTTAACAATTTATTTTGAATGTCCATTCATTACAGTGAACAGATTTCTTTTTTTTTCGATTTACCGCAAGTATCACTGCCAATTTTTGACTCATAAAGGACGTTTTAGTGTATGTTTTCTTGTTTCATTCATATTTTTTTACAACTTTTCCTGCATCACTAGACAGGGTTGGTTTAAGCCGTGCGTCATAGCAGCACCACGCCACCATTTCTTTTTTTAAAGTTTAATAGCTCGTCTTAAAGCAAACAGCATACAAGCCATTGACATCAACCCACCTATAAATATGTCATACCATAATATTTACACGCTGTGATTTTGACTCTGCATCAAGTGTTAAGTATTGGGCTTTGATATTGTATGAAATATTAAAGTGCGTTCACAGCACGAAAAACGTACTTGGTAATACGTATATGTAAGATGTCTTAATTTGTGTAAAGATTTCTAACCATATTTATTTATATTATCATATAAACATTTTAATCATTATAGAACTATATTTTAAGAAATTCCATCAGTAAAGTATTAAGGCGGCAATGGTCTCACGAAAACGGAAATGACGCAATCACATACATGCATGGAAGGTTCTCTTTGGGTGCACTCATACTAAGACTGGGAATGTTTTTTTTTATTTTCATCCCACACTAAATATTTCAATAATTACCACGCTTTACTATAAATGAACGTTATCACGTAAATTACGAAATTTACCGAATGTCCACGAATTCATGATGACAGTAATTTCATTACTAATACAAAGACATAAGAGTAGTTACAGCTTTATCAAATAGTCATCTAATTTAGAGTTTAAATAAACATGTGTCATTGGTACTGATAATGTAAATTACGATCTCACAGGCGAACATTTTAAACATACCATATCGTCATATATATTTTCAGCACTTTAATTATTGGATTTACGTATTGCCTTGTCTATATAAAATACTATTTCTACATTTTCTTTCTTAAGATATACGTCATTTGGCCAAAAATCTTGACAAAAAAAATCCTGACATTTACAAAACATAGTGAGCACTTTTCAGGGACATGATATACATTATTGATACTGATCTAAACGGCATGTCAATGAAAATCAATCGATTGCTTGCGAAATACAAACTGTATTAAGCCGAGATCGATATTTCAACAGACTTTATATGAAGTGGTTTTAACCTAGCGGAAATTAAAGTGCATGCCGTCTGCGTCTGATATAACGCTACTTGTCTTAAATCAGTATGATTTATTTCAATCGATATACTCTATACATTAATTAAATCACTTCTGCTGAATTTCTTAAATGGACTTGTCCAGTCAGTCAGCCAACAGTTTAAAAAACCTGGTCAGACTGCATGGACGTACAATATGACCCTGGCTCTACACTGGTGGCAGCCTAATTGCTTTCAAGTTCAGGTCGGTATTTTTCAAAAGTAAATAAATTACAATTACGCTGTCGTTATTATTCATACGACTGGAACAGAAAGAAAGGTTACCGTAAAAATGTAATTCATTTACATTGGCTGTTTCATGTGAGGAAGCTATCTAGCTAGCTTACGGAACGTCGGTGGTTCTACTCAGGTGCCCGTTCGTGCCTGAAATAATGCACGGAAGGGCACCTCAGGTCTTCCTCCACCAGTAAAGCTGGAACGTCGCGATATGACCTATGCTGTGTCGATGTGACGTTATACCCAAAACAAACAAAAAACATTGGCTGTTTTATGTAAATTCCCAAAATAAATAAATGGCTAGTGTAACTTTTATCTTCTTTTTTTTTGGGGGGGGGGGGGGGTTGAGGTGGTGGGGGGAGGGGTAATCTTTCGCGATTCCCGTGATCGATATACCTTCGCTCATATATGACACAAATTGATTAGACAGGTCTCAATAAATTGATAAGTCTTAATCTCAAATATGTATGAACCATGATTGTGAAATATAAATATGAACTACAAGTGTGGTTATGAGTGTAAAAGTTTAAGTTTAAACACGAGAAATAGTGTTGACGCGAGTGTTGAATATATGCAAATGTATATGAACCATAGGCATATGTTTGTATCATGGTATTTTGTCCTTTCCATTAATGTCAAACCGGAGACCTAGACATGTGCCTGGGTTTCATAACCAGTAATCATTGTGGACGTACTAAACAGACCCAAAGACTAATAAATTCACAACGTCAGAGCATTTTAGTATCTCACAATAAATCAAATGAACATAATAATTAAAACTAGATAGCGATACCGGAAAAAGATCTATTTATTCCCTGACCATTTAACACATGTAAATTGTACTTTAAATATACAGAAAATCACACTACCTCTTTCACTGGATAAATATCCATACCGTGTTAACCGTCCACGTTCAACATTTATTTAAATGAAATAAACCGTTTATTATTTTGAACTTATGCCAATCTGGTTAAGTAACCAAAAAATAACGATCTATTCAATCGCACAGTTAAGTATGGACTACCGCGTATTATTCTATATTTAAAGCTGATCGGCAGGTAGATTGAACAGCGGGGTGATATATAGAAAATTAATGTCTCAGCAAAACGACGGAATCAATAAATCGTTATATACAGGTGTGTATAGCAAGGGCACGTAACGGGAGAGATTGCTTTAAAAATGCACGCATTTTACTATGGACAGTAAAATTAAAAATAAGTGGCTACAATGTTTGTTTTTGCAGATAAAGCTTACAGGGTAACTTCACAATTAACTACATAATTAAAGTTTTTTTGGGGAAAAGAGCAAGACATACAAATAAGAGATTTTTTCTGTAGCTAAAATAAAAAAAAAGGTTATCATTTCAACCTTAGATGAAACAAATCTACTTTTAAATTACAACGCAGCAAACTACTATTATGCCTTTCGTACGGTACCTACTTTCTCACCTTAAGTAGAATGTATTTCTGGCTTTTCATTTCGGTTTTCACAAATATTGAAATAGACCCATTTTTTCCACAAATCAATGTGTTTTTTATGTCTACTGAATATGCATATCGACATTGTTTACATTTATTTATTAAAAACATTTTTTTGCGACTCAACGCACGATAATACTAATATCAGTTCAATAATATTACATGTATTTACCGTTTCGATCAGCTTCAGGAGCAGCCATTTTGTTAATCTCTAAGTAAAGGATGACGTCAAAGATCGTCAAAGAAATCTCGTTACAACGTACCAACAAGGTTTGGCCATGCATGCACCATTTCGAGGTTAACGAAACCTCACAAGTTCGTGAAAACCTATCTGTGTCTATATAACAAGTGATCACTAATGTGAATACCAAGACTAGATGTGACATACAACAAGAGAACCATTCCTAACCAATTATATTCTTCTAGGAGACAACGCAGATTGAAAGTAGCAGATTGGTTCTAAATGCCATTTTGTAGTTTTTTAGAAAAAAGCATGTAAAGATTAAGAATTGCATAACTTTTTTTATTTATTGTCAGATTTTGAAAATTTAAAAAACTACTAAACGTGATGTCAGGAGAACAACTCAATACCGTTAAAGATATGTGGATTTTAAAAATTCCATGCTTAAAAACGAAGAAAACATTTGGAGATAGAACAGTCCTTGTAACTTTTTTTAAAAAATTGTTAAAATCAAAGTGTTCAATATGACTTAGAACATTATGTCTTTTAAGTTGAATTGATTTATGTCACATAAAACAGTATGTTTTATCTTTAAACGCTGACAAAAATGTTATCGGCTAATTATCCCTTGATTAGTAGTCATTGACACCACCCTATTTCGTAAACAATATGTATTAAATGCCATTAAAACAAATAATGTAAGTAAACAAAGATAAAATACCCATATAAATTTTGTAGACATTTTTATCCATTATTATAAATTTAGCCATTACAATTCAATACCTTCAAAGTGATTCAATGTCTAGAAAAAGAAAGCTGTAGCCGCAAACGGAATAGAAAACTTTCAAATCCTTTAAAATGCTGGAAAAAAAATTAAATTTTTTTTTTCATGAAAATTCAAAAAATGGTCAATATCAAATTCCTTCCAAAGTATAAAATTGTAGCAATTAGTTTGTAATGCTTTTACACGTTCTGTTTGTGTTCGTACGAAGTTTTAATAATTGTAGATATGAAAAATGTGTTGCTTTAACTTAAATTTGCAATGAAAACATATCTGCTAGAAAAGACCTTAAAGGTAGAAGAAGGCATGACTTATATTTGAAAAATGTCATATTTAAAGATTGTTCATGTACAAATCATAACAAACATAATGTTTTATAAATATAAATTTAGAACTTCAAAGACAAATTACAAGACAAACTAAATATATACGTATAGGAATATATTTCTTCCTTCTGACTTTGGTATAAAATGTTTTTATGCATTTATGCATTTGTTTCTTATTGGCAATAAGTACAATAACAGTCATTTAGTATTTTTAATGGAAGTCAAAGTACTACTTTGCCTTTTATTAAAGAAACTTTAGAACATATAAACATTCCCTATTTACGAATTTATTTGATAAAATTGTATGATCACAGTTGTTTCTATCCGAAAATACACATCCAAAATTACTTGCAAATCATGATTAGTTTATTTGCTATTAAATTGATATGACTTCAAAATGTCAATGATTGATACATAATATCATTCAATACTTACATTTAGTATTAATATGAAATAAACAGCAAACGTTGTATAACCAGTTAACTCAAAATGTTTCGTACAACAAGGCGGTTGTCCTGCTATCACGTGATTTAATGCTATGTTTTGATACGATAATTTGGATGTAGAACAGTTTGTTGCATATGCCCCTCAGTTCACGTGACATTTATCGATGATATGATTGGTTCAATAAGTTAGAACAGTTTATTTATCAAGATATACTGAATTTGTGGAGATAGAACAGCATGGTTTCGTTGTAATTTATTTATGAAGCTCTTAAGCACTTA